GAGCACCAGCAGTAGTACAAAAAGAACTCTATGATTTCTAGACTCATTCAGAATGAAATCAATGCTTAGAATTAGGGCTGTAAGCATTTTTCTCCCTTTAAAACACTGAATATCATTAATAGGTTGAACTTTGTGCTGGAGAGGCCAAATTGTTATGAGGCTTTTGATAGAGGTGTCATTATTAAGATTATGTTAGGGGTTGGTTTTCTGAAGGCAGTTTAAGCAATACTTAAGCTGATACAAAGTGTATTTTTTTAGGATATTTCCAAAAAAAAAAAAGCTTAACTAATGAAGTCACAAACTTCTTTTAAAAATAGTGTCAGAGATATGCTAGATCACTAAAAGCAAAGTTAATGGAAAATTGTTTGGCATAATCATTTCTAATATAAACCATTATTCTTGGAGAAAACGGAACAGCTACATGGGAATACTGAATTTTGTCTGTTAGTCACAGTGCCTGATACATAGTAGGTACTTGTTAAAAAATATGTTGAATGAATTAATAAATGGGGATGAGAATCTCAATGATTAATAAAGTTTGCCAAATACAGTTAAAATAAGGGAAAAAATAAACAAGACCCAGATATTTAAGTAATTTCCAACATCCATGGCTGCCAATTATAGATTATCAATGTAGGGTTGGGGCCAGACATTGAGTGACTTGCTCAAGGTCACACATGAAATTAATAATAAAGCTGAAATCAAAATCCAGGCTCCCTGAATCATAACATGATCTTCACCGTACCACTAGTGCATACATAAACCAACATACATAAATAGGCCAAGAAGGTTATTTATTTCATTTATATAATGTCAAACTCATGACATTTATAGAGCAAAGTTGTTGTAAGTTATCGCACTTGCACTGATTCTTTTGAGTTTATGACACCCCCATTGGCCAGACTTTTTATGTGTTTAATGAGAGAAGAAATATGCCATTGATTCCCTCCTCTCTTTGCTGGTAAATATGGCAGACTCCTCTGTATATGGTTGAATTAAGGAGCAGGTTCTCTGGGAAGCAGGCCATGATGCTATAGGGGTGCCCAAGTTTAGGGACGTTAAGGAGATGGAGGAAGCTGTACTTATCAAAGCTCCTCTAAAGAGAGTGTGGTTTACCTTGGAAGCAATGGTTTGATAAAGTTGCTTTCAACCCCAGGTCATCACCCCATGTGCCCCTCCCCTTCTCACCAAAGAGAAAAGTTAAGTCACAATGGGTGGTATTAAACTACCTCTAAATCTAAGGATGTGAGACTCAGTGACTTCTGAGTGGTGATTTGGGCAAGTAGGTGGATTTGAGGGGCAACCTTGGAACCAAAGCTAAACGGCTTGTGACAGCAGAGGAAAAATTAGGTACAGCCACCAGGGGACCTCTGTCTACCCTCCTTTCCATAAACAGTCCACCCGCTGAATTTGCACTGACAAAATGTTAAAGAATCACTCTTTAAAGGGACACCAAATCATTAATTTTCCCAGGGTGCCTTGGACTGGCCCAGCCATCATAGGAGAAGTCTGACCAGAGGGGTGGCAGCTGAGTCCCTGCGCAGTCCTGTAGCAGAGGTAGAAAGGGTTGAATCGTGAGGTCCTTTGTAGCTATTGATTCTAGGCCAACTGATGGAAAGCTCTAATCAAAAACTTCCAATAGCTTTCATAAGATATATCAAAAGAAAGAAAACAGAGCCTAATTTTTTGGACAAAATTTTGGCTATAATGTTTGCAAAGAGTCAAGTTTGTGCTATATAATTCTTATATAGAAAGAAATAAGCTGTTTAGCCCTAGAAAAAAAGAACCCAATTTTCAAATCAGATAGACCTTAGGTGCCACTTAACTAGCCCTGTGTCCTTGTACAGTCTCTCTGAGACTCACTTTCTTCATCTGTATAATGGGGATAACACACTTAATTGTAAATTTAAATGAGTGTTTTTAAAAAATATCGTTAGATTGCCCAGCCCCCAAGTACTCAATAAATATCAGTGAATTAATTCATAATTAGTAAATATTAGTGAATGTTACAAAGTAATAAACTGTAAAGCTTTATTAAGAAACCTGCATGAGGGTGCTAAGACACGAGGGCAGTTATTTGGCTTGAGAGCAGTGCATACCTATAAAATGTACAGTCAATAAATAATTTAAATTTATTCATGAGAAATACATTATTTCCCCAAGAAAAAAAACCAGAGAGTTAATGAAAACATGTTCAAAGATTCCTGACATAATCAAATGTTAATATGGAACACATTATCATGTACAAACCCATACCAAATTTGCAAACTGCAATCTCACAAAAGTCCACTGGGAATCTCTCTTGAATAATGATCTTTTATTAACTATTAAACTTTCCATGGACCCAACTGACATCTTCTAAGAAAATATCAATACCTTGGAAACACACAAAGAGGGGCTTATATAATGCCAGACCTGCAATATACACATAGACAGACACACGCAAATATATATAATCCCACATCGCGTTGATGTATTATATTTTTTTGTGAAAATTATTTCCAGTGTTATGGTGAATTATGTATAGTAGTGTTGAGACTGTTTAGAAATAGAAAAGCCAAAGGAATAGTTAAGCGGTAAGCAGACTAATCCAGTTGGCTGATGTATCTATCATGGAAACAGAAAATGTATTGCAGTAGGAAGTGGTTATCTTTATCTTTCAAATAAACATTGTTCGCTGATCAGCTAGCTACACAGTGCATTTGTTTCAGCAGCTGTTGGAAAAGAGACTATGCATGGTGACTAGGTCTTGGAAAACTAGCCATGGGACCTTAGGGAAGTTTTCCTAGTCTCAGTTTCCTCATCTGTAAAATGGCTATAAAAATCCCACCCTGCTTATTTCATAAAGATGTTCTGATCAACTTTCCCATTTCACACATGAGAAAACTGAGTAGCGAAGTGACTCTCTTAAGGTCACATACCTTATCAATGACAGAACAAACTAGAAATAGGTCTTTTGAAGACTTGGACTTCTTGCAGTAACAAAGCTACCATTGAAGCAATAAAAGGGAAGGAGCTTTGAAAAATGTAACATAAGCTTCCTGTTCAGCAGAAGTATTATGGAGTATATCTACTTAAATCACAGCCAAGATCATGTAGTAATTAATTTAAAATGCCTTTGAGATGTACCTGTACATGAGCGATAGCCCCCTCTTTTAAAATCAAATACAATGCTTCATTTCTTAAAGAAGACACAAAAAGTAAACAATCAGCTGAATTAATTCAGACACTGAAGTGGATTTTCACAGATTTGACTTGCCCAACCTAGTTTTCTACAAAGCCTGTATTAATAAGATAATTGCTAATTCCCCCTTTTGTGCTGAGGAGAGTTTGTATTTGTTTAAATGAATCTAGGAGCAGAAAAGACAGCCACTGAAAAAAAAATTTTTAACTCAAATCTAAACTAAATGATCCAGTTCCAACACATACTGATTTCTTTAGGCATCTTCTCCAGGCGTTACTTTAAAAGCTTAATTTTCTTTATCTGAATGAGAACATGAATACGTTTTTTGTGATTTAAAGAGTAATTTTTCAATAAACAAATGAAAAAAATCAACCTAAACTGAATATTGTCCAGCATATTGTGAACCGGCTTTGTTGCATTGTCAGTAGAACAAAAATTTCAATGCCTCTTTGGCATGACTAAAAACGCTAGTTAAATCTTTTAGATTAAATTCTTACTGAAACATTTAAAAAATATATAGTCTGTTTAGAATGGTTTGAAATAATCTCCATTAGCTCTTAGGGTTTAAAAATTAAGCAAACAATGCTAATAATTAATGCCCTCCTAATTTCAAGAGGAAATTTTAGAATGTAATTTAATTAACTGACAGAAAATTAATTACATGTGAAATGAGACTCATCAGACCTTCCTGTTTCATCAGAATTTCAGACTAACGGATAACTAGTCTTATCAATTACAATTTCTTTGTGGTTCAGCTAGCACAAAATGGACAATTATGATGATAATTAAATATTCTACCCAAATAAACAGCACTAGGACACTAAAATGAATTAATGTGAACACACAGCTGTATTAAGTTCCTGCACCTCAACGTAAAGATTGTGCTGGGTATGTATGTAATCATTGAATTGACAAAAAAAAAAAAAGAGAAAAAACAGTTAAATTTCAAATTCAGCACAACAGTATATTTTGGTTTTGCCATGTGGAACATAAAGTGAAAATGTGACTAAAAACTATGTAACATAGTAAGTTGATTACTCAGAGACTTTTCATAAACAGTTGGCAAATTTTAACTTACAACAGCTGTCACTATAAATTTAAAGTAAAATGTAAATTCAAGAATATTGACCTTGTGAATGTTTCTGTAAATAAGGCTTGTGCTTTTTTCAAAAGTTACAGAAAATCACTAGTGTTTTTTTTAACCCAATTTGGCACAACTTTGCCCTCACTGTTTTTAAAATCCTTCAGTTTTACACATAAGCGGCTTTAATCATTCTTGAGTGCCTTTTCAGCGATTCCCTTGAGGACCCAAACTGCCTAAGGAAATGTATTTAATAGGTTTAAGTCTTGAAGGTGAGAGAATAAATAAACGAAAGAAACAAGTATTGCCGGAGGTGCACTAAATAAACTCTTTTACATAAGAAAACAAAGAAAGGCTGGCAGCAAATAGTTCAGGGCCTGTTTCCCTAAAATAAAGTAACCAGTAAATACTTGGAGCAATTACAGTTTACAGATCTCAGGCTCTGAAGCACCGGTTGTATGCTAAATTTAGCACTCTCCTGTTTTGTCCTGTTTGAACAACTCATTTCCAAGCAAAATTTGCATGACAAATTATAAACCCTTCTGTACAAACAGCTAAAATGGCATCGAGTATCATATTTACACTGACACATACATGTAGCATAAGCTAGTGTTCAAATGTTTCATTCATGAAAACCAAAACCATCTTTTCGAACACGCAGGGAAAGAGAAGTGAAAGCTACACAAAACATGAAATGCTCTTCCTGCAAAGTGCTGAACGCTTTCCAGTACTTACCCTGTCGGCAGCTCCGTTTCTCCTTGGCAGCCCTTCTGTGCCAAATGCTTCTACCTTCCCAAAAATGTATGTCAGCACAAGCCCAGACGAAACTTCAAATCCAGGAAAATAAAATTAACCATGCAGATCAAAGGCGGAGGAGCAGGGAGATGAAATGCCCGGTAATCTGATCAGTGATCAGTTGCAGAACATCAAAGGCAGAGCTAAATTTATATACGTGCGTGAATCTCAAGAGGCTCACTTCCAGCAGGTAGGCTGCTTCCCTTCCCTCCCGCCTTCTAGTCCACAGATTCTTTTGTTTGACACGGATCACGTTGTTTTCCTCCTTTTTTTTTTTTTTTTTTTTTTTT